CGAACATTTGTTGCTTGTGACTTCACTTTTATCAACAATTTGAACAAATTCCTGTGTCGATTTCCCACTGTGGCCGTCAATCCATTCTTGCGTATCGCGCAACCATTTCGATTCAACGACAATTCGAATCCGTTGTCACTCAATTGACCGGCTGAGATCAAATTCGTTACGATGCCTGGCACATGATAAACGTTGCGAACAATACCGTCGTTCCACTTCGATCCATCATACATTGACACAAAAATATCTCCAACTCCAATTGCGTTCATCGGTTCGCCGTTGCCAGCCGTTACCTCCTGTTTCACTTCAAGCAGGCGATAACTCATGAACCAGCTTCTGTTGCTACACATGTGATACGTGGCACACGAATCCAGATACCAATCGTCTCTTCCATTGGCAATCATACTCAGGACCATCATCGCTTCATGATTTCCATTTTTCTTTTTCAAATTCGGGCAATCTCTTCGAAAATGTCCCTCAGTACCACACTCGAAGCACTTCAAAACCTTTTTTTCTCTCGGTTTCATCGATCGATTTGTCATTCGTGCCGACATCGCTGACTGTTGCATTTCATTTCCTTCACTAGCCTTCGAAATACGTATTTCTTCGACCATGAGCCGTTCGCGCAATTTCAAAAATGTACGCTCTCCTTCGGCTGTCGAATCCCAGGCTGAACTGAAATGACTCATTTCCGCAGGCAAAGTTCTCAACACTTTCGATATCAATTGGCGTTCGGAAAATGTCTCACCCAAATCACGGAGCTGTTGCACAATTTCATCCAATTTTGAGAAAAACGTGGCCATATCGTCGTTCGGATCTTTCGTGAACGCGTAGTATCGCTCAAGCAACAAATGAACACATGATTCTGACTTTTGCTCATACACACTATGCAATTTGTCCCACATCTGCTTCGATGTCTCACAGCTCATGATATGCAGCAATGCTTCGTCAATCACACTCGTTGCAATGATTTTCTGCGCTCTCACATCACGTTTCGTCCATGCCGTGTGTTTCGTGGCATCATAACCCACATCGGTCGATTTCGGCTCTTTGTCTGTGCCTGTCACAACATCAAAAATTTCAGCCGCACGAAGCAAAATTCTCACTTGAAATTTCCACGGTAACCATTGCTTTTGCTCTTTCAATTGCGTTACGGAACATTTCTCGTCGGCGGTACTCATTTTCGTTCGTTCGTTCGTTTGCTTCACAACACAGCTCAACACGTGACAATTTTCAATCGATTCAAATCGCAGCGATCACAAAATCTTCACGGAAATTCGGTCGACAAAAATACGCACTGATGATATTTCTTGACAATTCTCCTAATATTTTTGCTTTTTCGTCGTCTCTGGGCCCATAACCTGATAAAAAAGTATGGCTTTGAATATTGAAACACGTCCAGTCGGTTTGATTGTATGAACAAGAAGAAAGTTTATTGATAAATCAAACGTCAAAGTCAAGTCATCTGTCAAATGTCAAACTTCATGTTACATTTTAGGATGCGTTCACATTTACATTTCGATTGCTATTTCTAACACTTCTGTGTATGAAGTCTCAACAATACTCTGTCGAAATCGAATTGCCTTAGAGATGCAGTAGCAGCAGTCTCTTCCAAAAAGATCATCGCTTTCATCAGCGAGACGTATATGTATTCCGTTTTTTTAACCTCCATCAACGTTTTAAATGATTTAAACTCTTCGTCATTTCTTTCTGTTTCAATACGAATGTATTGTTTTGGTATACTGTACATATCTGTCTCTTTCATCGATAATTCAGCTGAAGACGCGATTGTTTTTTTGTGTGTTTCAGGAGAACTGTGTGTGCTAGCGTGTGTGTACTGTGGTGAATCGTGTTTTGGGTTTTCGTTGCGTATCTCATTTCCTACGTTCTTCATTTTGGGAATTCTGAAACTACCCAGAGCTGACCTAGGAGTTGACATATTTTGTTCCTGGTTAAAAGATACAAGATAAAATTGAATTTTTATTACAGTGCCATTTCATCCGGGAACGGTCGAATGTTTCTTACATTTTCGTTATGCTGGAGCGTAGCCTGTTGCTCTATTTCCTTCCCTTCACTGAACAAAATATCAGGAAGTTCAGCACTGAACTCGATGTCTTTATTTCTAGTTACAATCGACCTGGCAATCGACATCGGCTCCGGCGAATCTATCCAGTTTAACACTTTAGGAGACACAAAATTGGGCTGGCTATTACGAATAGACTGCAGAGGAGACGTAACACTCGAATTGCGAAATGACTTGAGAACGGAACTAACTGATTCGGTTGTTGTCACCCGGAGGTGGAAGCAACCAGGAGTAGGCTTGCTTACTCGAGCAGGCAGTTGCCTTGCTTGCTGCTCACTTGGAGTGAACTCGGGACTATGTAAGTGAGGCGAGCAACCGAGTCTACTCAAAACTTGCTTGCTTGCTAAAGACATACAACACGAAGAAGGATTATATATAGGGTAGGGTGGGGCTAAACCGGACAGTTGCCGTATCTCGGAACCCATTGCGTGTATCGAATTTTGAATACGTTCAGTTTGTGCGGCTCGAGGGGCAAATCACTCTTAGGTATTACTTTTCAGAAATGGTATTACTTGGTATTACTTTCCGTACAAATCAAAAGTAATACCAGGTGTTTTACTTCTTTTAGTCGGTATTAGTTGGTATTACTTGTATATTATTTTTTATCGGTGCGGCGTTATGTCAAACGAAAACATCATAAGTTTCGATGACATTTGATGGCGTAATAGTGAGTTAGCATCGACCGAGTGCAGACGTATTATTTTATTCGCTGAAAAAAATCCAACTTTTTTGGGTTGCTGCATTGTAAATTAGAAGCATCAATATTTTGGTAAATGTTTTTAATAGTTTAAGTTGTCCTGAATACCGTGAATATAAAAACTTCGATTACATTTAAGTGAAAAAATTTTTTGCGTGTCATGTTCGAAATGTCTCGGTGGGGCTAAACCGGACACGTCATTTTTGCTTTTTCATTGAGTTTAGTCACAGTGAACACGTACAAAATGCTTACACGTACAAAAAGCTTACACATCATTTTTATTGAGTTTTTACAGCAAAATGGTTCGCAAATACAAGCGGAAAACGGCAGAGGTTGACAAATCCAAGATGAGAGAGGCTGTTCTCGCAGTGCGTCGTGATAAATTCTCGTTTCGAAATGTTGCAAAATTGAATGGTGTCAGCAAATCCACATTGTCTGGTTGAAACAAACAAATGAAGAACAAGCAATGAAGGGTGAAGTTACAGTGTTGACGAACAACACGAGGAAGTGTCTCGGCAGCACCAACAACTCAAACATCAGCGAGCCGAGCATCAACAAGTGAAGCATCAGCGAGCCAGGCATCAGCGAGCCGCCAATCAACCAGCTGTCAAATGGAACTTGGTTCGGGCGATGAAGATTGGTCAAACACTTGTTACATTTGTAGCGATAAATTGCTGGTAAAGGAACGCTTCAAAGTTTGCATTGAATGTCGCCACAAAGCACACATCAATTGTCATTGTTTTCGAGTGAGACTGGATCATTTGAATATTTCTCGTCCATATATCTCGTTTGGCTGACAAATAAACGACACAAGTGATTTATAGCAACTTGTTTTGCTGCTGAGCTATTTCAAGAAAACAAGATATCGAATGTCAAGAAATACTGCCGATAACAAGGTAGCATTTTCGGGCGCCTTAACGCATTCACGGTGCAATATTTTCATCTGATAAAATTTTTCAAGTGGATATTATTATTATTTGTTAACGTGCTCTGCCGCAAAAATCTAAAATTAGTTGAAGACTTACCAATGTTACATTACCCAATCGCATGTTAATCATATCGCCATCACTCACATTTTGATCATCAATAGTTTGTGTGTGTGATTTCCCCATTTTATCCATGTAACTGGGATCGAAATAGACACCAAAACCGCTGGAGTCTTTATTCAAATGGTATGCCCTACGAATTTCTTTGTATAAAACGAATGTGTTGACCATTAGAAGAATTTGAATTTCTCGTTTGCCGAGTTCTAGACACTTAACCTCAAGTGATGTCTGCGAAAATATTGAATCTGTAATAAATGTACACTGTTTGGGAGCTATCCTTATTTTTAGTCCGATTCGCATCAAACTTTCAGGGATTTCATTTTTTAGTGGAAAAATAAGATTCTGAAAGTTTCATGGTGATCGCAGTATCACAAGTGGGTTTTTGGGTGCATGATTTGGTGGATTTCCCTCGGACCCAAGCGCCAAACTTTGAGGGCGATGAGGCACGAGTAAGCGTTATCCGATCACACTTAAAATTTATAGGGCTTATTTTTATGGCCAACCTCCTATGAAAATGAATCGCCACATGTAATTTCGAAAAAGTGCGAAAAAAACCACCCTAATGTACAGCGATGTTTTATTCTTTTTATGTTTCTCATTATTGTGTCTGTTCTGTTTGCTGTGCAGCGACTGAATGGCGTTAATACAATACAGAATCGCAATGTTCTAAACCTATTAGAAATCAAACAAAATCATTTTACATTAGAATTAGAATTAAGTACAAAAAATTTGACAATTCTATTATTTAATTAAATATAATTGCAACGTTTTTGATATCGTTCTGCAGAAAAAGTAGGAAAATTCACAATATCCATATAAAAAAGTTAGAAACTAACCATTACTAGATTCGATATTATTGATCAAAAGTTACTAGTTTAATCGCAACAAATATATTTAAGAAACATATCGCAATAAATGAGAAAAATGAAAGCATAATCATAGCATTATCAAATGTTTATATCTAAAATAAATAACGGGTTGTACTGATTTATGCCAATCTAACCAGGAAAAACCCACTATTAATAAATCTATCAGGGGAATCGAACGATTTTATGAGGGAAAACCCAAGGAATGTTGATTAAGAATCAAAATTGCGTAAGCAAAAAACCCAGGGATCATAATTAAGTAATATAAAATATATAAAAGTGCGTGCAAAACTATTTTTTATGACATTATGTCTTCGCGAGGCAAGTCAGTAAAACTTGTGTAAAACTATTTGTCCGAAATTGGGAATGTATTGTAATCAGAGTGTAATCCTACCGCACATTGCGGCACAAAGTGTTGGAACGGCAAATCACCTGTTTACAAGTCTAATTCAAACTATATTGTCGTTTCAATGTTCGCTGTCGCCTCCAGAGATGTGGCCAAAAGATTACGGAGAAACGGCAATGAAAGAAGGCATTTTTTTGTTATAATTTCGAAACGAAATAAATTGAATTTTTTCCCAATATATTATTTTTATCAGCAAATTGAAGTCTATTAATTAACTGAAAGTTTATTGAATTTTCAACGTTTGAAGGATTGAAAGATGATTGGGATTTTATTGTCGTTGGTGGTGGGTCAGCTGGAAGTGTCGTTGCATCTCGATTGAGTGAAAATCCTAAATGGAAAGTGTTATTATTGGAAGCGGGAGGCAATCCACCTATTGAATCTGAAGTACATTCATACTTTTAATGAATTTTTGCATTGATTTTTACGCATTTCAATGATGTCATTTTTTCCATTTCAATTGAATTCGATGACAGATTCCAGCTTTATTGGGGAGTATGCAAAAAACCGAATTCGATTGGCAATTCAGTGGGAAATCAGAATTGGCAAGCAAAGCAAATGTCAATGACACATGTAGATATGCCAAGGGGAAAATGTTGGGTGGTACATCGTCATTGAATGGTAAGGTCACTTGATCAATATTAACTATGATTGATTCATCATTGATTGAATCTGACTATGAACAAAACTCAAATCATTTGAGTCAAATGTAATATTGGATTCAGTCTTATATTCACTATCAATAAAACCACTTTTCAGTACTAAACGATTCACTCTTACTACAGGTATGATCTACACAAGGTGGGTAAAGAAGTGAATAAGGTTTAAAAAAAAACAAATACAAACCAGGGAAAATTCCTTCAGGGAGGTAAGAAGGAAGACTATGATCACTGGGCTGAAATGGGTAATAACGGTTGGGATTATGATAGTGTTTTGCCGTATTTTAAAAAATCCGAAGGAAATCAATATAAACCGTTTGTGTTGTATCAAAATGGTAAATATCATAATGGCAGCGGTCCAATGAAAATTGACTTTTTCGGTGCAGACGGCCTTGATGCAAAACGAAAAATTTTCCTTGATGCTGCCGCTGAACGTGGTCATCCAATAATCGAAGATATCAATGCTGACAAATATTTGGGATATTTAAATATGCAAGCAACATATGCAAATGGTCGCCGGCAAAGTGCTGCAACATCATTTTTGAATGCGGCAAAAGATCGGAAGAATTTGCATGTGATCAAGCATGCTTTTGTTGTGAAAATCCTTATCGATGACAACAATAATGCGTATGGTGTGAAATTTACATACAAAAACAAACGTAAATTCAAGACGACTACGCGAAAGGAGGTCATTGTTTCAGGTGGTTCATTTTTGAGCCCACATTTGCTGATGAATTCAGGAACCGGGCCAAAGGACCACTTACAAAAACTCAAAATTCCGGTGAAGGCGGATATACCGGTTGGACAAAATTTGGCCGACCATCAATCGGTGTACATTTGGTTTCAATTCAATCCCACGGAAACATCGCCAACCGCTCAATTGGATAGTCTATATCAATATGTCGTTCATGGAACTGGACCATTAACCTCTCGAGGAGTGACAAATGTGAATGGTTTTATAAATACCGCCAATACAACTGGACCAGCCAATATTCAGGTTCAAGTATTTTACTATACGAAAAATTCGGACAGTTTAACATCATTCGCGAGTCGTTATAAGGATAGCATCAAACAAACACTTCTGAAGGAGGCTTTAACTCATGATCTTGCCGCTGTGATCATCTCCAATATTCACCCGAAATCAAGAGGTGTCGTCGAATTAAACCACAATTCAGTTCACGGCAAGCCAATTGTGGATCCACTATACTTTAGCAATGCAGATGATGTCGAGGCATTATTGCAAGCCATGAAGCAACAACTTTCTTTTGAGAATACCACATCGTACCAATCGAAGAATGTGATCGTTATGAATTTCGATTTGATGACTATATTCGCTGTTATATACACTATTTCGGTAGTTCGAATTCGCATCATTACGGAAGTAGCCGAATGGGACCGACTTCTGATCCGACATCAGTCGTTGATCCACGTCTGAAAGTTAAAAATATTGGAAAACTGCGACAAATTGATGCTGGAGTGTAAGTCTATGTCACCAATTACATACTTAACGTAGTTTAAGCCACCTTGGTTTAAACACAATCAAAGAATTTTTATCATGAAATTCATTCAATCAAATGTGTTGCTGATAATAAAAATGAGTCGACGCTTCAACAGAATGCTTCTGTATTCCCATTTGTATTGTCAGTAACACAAATTAATTTCGTTTTCTTATTCGTAGTATTCCAAGTCTCGTGTCTGGAAACACATATGTAGCCACGATGATGATTGCGGAGAAAGGAAGCGATTTCATTAAAAGTGATTATGGATTCATTCCTTGAAATGGAATTGAAAATGAAAAATTGTTTGATTCTGGATTTTGCACAACCCGTACAGAAACAAAAGAGAAATGATAAATTCAGTTTTTATAATAAAACGAATTGCACGAATTACATACAGGGTGGCGCACTCGAAGTGTAATTAAAGTAAATGGCTGTAATTTTTTTATTCATGATTATTTTTTATTCATCCAAAAGTGAAAAATGTTTGAAAATAATTAAAATTTTAGAATTCATGTCATGCTTTCTATTTGTTTTCCTTTGGCTCGAATAATGGCAGTCAAACGGTCGAAAAATGAGTTGCACGCTGCACGAATCTGAGATTCTGGAATTCGCTTCCATTCCCGGAGTATATCTGATCGCAAGCTGTCGATACTTTGGTATTTTTTCTTACCGACCATGTCCTGTAATATGCCCCAGATTGAATAATCTAATGGATTGGCATCAGGAGAATATGGCGGCCATTGATCCCTCGAAATGAAGTTCGGTACGTTGTTTCTGAGCCATTCTTGGGTTTCGTTCGCTTTGTGCGACGGTGCAGAGTCTTGTTGGAATGTGTACGGTATTTCTTTGAAATGTTTTTGTGCCCATGGCTTCAACACTCGTTCCAAAACAGTTTGACGGTACAACGGAGCATTTACCTTGATGCCATTTGGCAAAAAAACCAACGGAGAGCGGCCATTGGCCGTTACGGCGGCCCAAACCATTATCTGAGGTGGCGCTTGCTGTCTGGTGGCCGAACGAAGGCTAAAATTGTCGGATGATCTCTTTGCTAGATAAACCCGATCATTTTTTTTGTTGACGAATTGCTCAATGGTGAAATTTTTCTCATCCGAAAAGACAATGTTTGGCAAGCCGCCACTTGCGTGCAACCGCTTCAATGCCTTCGCTCTTTCAACTCGTACTTTCATTTGCTCCGGTGTAAGATCGTGACATTTTTGTATCTTCAAGGGCTTGAGTTTGAGCACATTTCTCAATATGCGTTGCACGCTTCGCCTTGATATTTTCAGCTCTTTGGCCATTTTTCGTCCGCTTCGTCTCGGATTCCGCTCGACTCGGGCCCTTACTCGCCGAACCATTTCTGGTGAGGTTGCTGTTTTTTTCCATCCACCACCATGACGTTTTTTGGTGCTGCCAGTTTCATTGTAACGTTTTATTGTGCGGTGAATAAATGTTATGTTCACATTCAAATGTTCTAGCTGTCTAAAAATCTCTATTTGCGACTTCCCTTCCAAATAGAGCGCAATCACACCGTTGCTTTTGACGTCCATGGCGATACTGTCGCACTGTGTGCATTTTTTTGCAAATGCGTAAATTATGTTCTAAACAACTCTTTGAGGTACCGTTATGCCAAAGGATGACACGCAATGCATTATAGTTTGGAGAAGAACAAATCTTCAAAATTAGTTACACTTCGAGTGCGCCACCCTGTACGTAACTTAGATTCATTTATTTATTTCTCATACTGAAGGAGACTTGAATTTCTAAAAATTCAAAATGATCGCATTTTTTTCAATTAAACCAACCCAAGCATGGGAGTACGTCGAACGTTTGGATGTTACGTCCAGTTGGATGTGAGCATTGGACTTACAAATACGCGACAAAGAAAATGGGTGTGCAATTGTAGCTTATTTTATAATCTTCTCTTAAGTCTACTCAGTATACAAACGCGTTGTTTTTTTATTTTCTTTTCCGTATATTCTTAAGTCTAATCGGACATCACTCCAAGCTACGGTCCATGGTCAGGTAAAGTCGTTGAAAATAGCGGCGAATCTGGCACGAATAAAACGAAACATTTGATGGAATTAATTGCACGAACAATTATCCCTGTGGAATTTGGCCCTAAATGTGCTTCTGTAATAGTTATCGACACCAATGAATATAGAAGTAAAAAAATGTAATTCTTATTACTTTATTACCTTCTTATTACTGTAATAAGATGACCTATTACTTATTACGCATCTTATTACTTGTAATAAGATGAGTAATAAGTAATAAGTCTATCTTATTACTGTAATAAGATATACTTATTACTTATTATTCATCTTATTACAAGTAATAAGATGCGTAATAAGTAATAAGTCCATCTTATAACAGTAATAAGATTGTAATAAGTAATAAGATCATCTTATTATGGTAATAAGATTGTAATTGTAATAAGATTGTAATGAGTATCTTATTACTTTTGGTGCAAAAAAAATCGCTAAAAAAGTTTCATGTAAAAAACATGTCAATTTTTTTCAATTTAATGCAAAAAATCTCAAATATCTCCAAAGTCCACAAAAATCTGATTTATTTATTCGAAATATTCGAAAATATGTCATACAATTGATGTTTATTTCAAATATCTCAAATATCTCACAAGATTCAGGAGCGTGATATTCCCCTAGATTTTTTTGCACCAAAAGTAATAATATACTTATTACAATCTTATTACAATTACAATCTTATTACTGTAATAAGATGATCTTATTACTTGTTACAATCTTATTACTGTAATAAGATGGACTTATTAGGGGACTTTGCTGCAGGTTGGCTACCACTTTATAATTTGGTCATAACTTTGTCAGGAGTTAACATTTACAAAAGTGTATGGTATCGTTGGATAGATAATGTCCAGAGCTATAATTTTTCCAAAGAAACATACGCGATTGCTTTTCAAAAACAAAATTTATGGTCAATTGGACCTGAAGTAGAGCTGCTCACGAACACGAACGATTTTCTTTTGATTCAAACAATTCGAATCGAACATAAAACGAACACGAACAATATTTTGCTTGTTCGAACCGAACACGAACAAACAGAAATTTCGGTTCGTGAATAATTGAAATAAATTTCATATCTAACTATAAATCTGTCTGATATCTTACTGAAATGCCGAGAAATTCACGCGAATATAGAGCAAAGAGGATATGCGCATGTGTTGGTGGGTTACACACGCGCACATACCAGAGGTCGCAACGGGAGCCCGTCCCGTAGTTCCGCCCGAAGCCCGCCCGTCCCAAAGTTTCTGTTTTGCAAATTCTAGACATGGTATTAGTTTCAATGAGTTCTATTGGCCCATAGGAACTCTTTCAACCCATTGAACCATCATAAAAAAGTTTAATTCAAAATTTCGTTGAAAAAACTTAAAGTCAATTTTTTCCCAATATGAATGATTTTCGATTCCAAGTTTTAAACGACAAAAATTTTTGTTTTGCGTATTTAAGCTATAGAATTGGTTTCAATGTGTTCAAGTAGACTCCAGAAACTCATTCAATTTATTAAACTATGAATTATTGTGTGATTTGAAAATTCTGTTGAAAAAAATTCTGAATCGATTTTTGCCTTATATGGGAGATTTTCGATTGCAACTTTTGAATGGCGAATTTTTTTGTTCTAAACACAGTAGTGGATTCAATGAGTTTATTTGGCCCTTAGAAACTCATTGAATACATTAAACTATGAAGATCAAGTGTATTTCCAAATTTTGGTGAAAAAAATTGAATCAATTTTTTACTTATCTTAAGAATTTTCGACATCATCTTTTGACTAACAAAATTTTTTGTTTTTGGTATTTTAGTCGTACGAATGGATTCATTATATTCAATTGGACTACAGAAACTCATTCAGCTCATAAAACTACCGAAAATAAATATATTTCAATTTTTCGTGGAACAATTTTGAAGTCAAAAATGTACGAGAGAAAATGTTTGAGCAAACTTGTTTTAACTCGCATGTTTTATCAATTTAAATGATTGAAATATGCTCAATGGAAACTAACTATAAAACAGTGGCTTTATGGACGATTTTGAATTTATGTAAGACATTTTTTCAATATTCTGTGTTTCAGAACGGAAAATACCAAAATGTAATATTAACATAAATCTATAAGGCAAAAATCGATTCAGAATTTTTTTCAACAGAATTTTCAAATCAAATAATAATTCATAGTTTAATTAATTGAATGAGTTCCTGAAGTCTACTTGAACACATTGAAACCAATTCTATAGCTTAAATACAAAAAACAAAAATTTTTATCGTTTAAAACTTGGAATCGAAAATCATTCATATTGGGAAAAAATAGACTTTAAGTTTTTTCAACGAAATTTTGAATTAAACTTTTTTATGATGGTTCAATGAATTGAAAGAGTTCCTATGGGCCAATAGAACTTTTTTATGATGGTTCAATGGATTGAAAGAGTTCCTATGGGCCAATAGAACTCATTGAAACCAATACCATGTCTAGAATTTGCAAAACAGAATTTCGCCGGTCAAAAGATGATATCGAGAATTCTTCATATAAGGGAACAAATCAACTCAATTTTTTCATCGACGAAATTTTCAAATCGTTCAATAGTTTTATGAATTGAATGTAGTTGTAAGGACCATCTGCACTCATTGCCAGTTTCAATTTGGAACCGTTTTCACAATTGTAATATCGATGTTCCTTCTATGTTGCTAATATTATTTCGTCTAATCGTTGAAGATATGTCCAAATTGTTGGCGAGATTTCCTTGAATAATGTGTGAATTTCTCGACATTTCAGTAAGAAGACTTGACCTCCTGAGAAACTCTATGTTTGTATGACTTTCATTCAACATTCGAAATACTTGAATCGAACTCGAACAGTTCAAAACAAATCGAAATCGAACTCAAACAAACACGAACATAGCTTATTTTGTTTCGAACAATTCGAACCGAACCCGAACGAACACGAACACAAAATTCAAAAGAAATCGAACTCGAACTGTTCGAGTTCGGTTCGTGAGCAGCTTTAACCTGAAGGTGCTGAAAATGGCGAAAAATTTTTTTTTGCTGCAGGTTGAGAATTTTCAAAAATAGCATAATACATGCGAATAAATGATATAAATGCGATATATTTCCAATGTTATGGGGATTTTATTGTTATATAATGCAATTTGGATGTCAAAAGATACTCTTAGTAAGCACCAAAATCGATCTTCCTTTTTCGAGTCGGTAACACATCGGTCAATAAGTCCCGAGCCTAACCACCGTATGGC